CCCTTTCCACCTCACATTACTAATTGCTTATCAGATTGTCCTGGACTCAGGAAGCTGCTCAGGTTTTTCACATTTCTTAGCACTGTTGGGGTCCCTTTTGTGGCCAGTAATGACATTCCATGCTAAGGCACGTGCTCTATCTGTCTGCTCACGCCTTACTCTGGTTCTTATCCTGGTGTTGCCTATGGGAAGGAGGTTAATAGAGTTCTCTCTTCTGTTTGGGGTGACAGTCTGCTGTGATTTTCCTTGCCACCTCGGTCTCTCTTTGTACCGTTATTCTCTTGTAGTTCTTGCTTTCTTTTGATTACCAGTTACGTGTTACCCAGAAGGTGTCTTCTGCTTTCACCAGTGTTGGCAGCCACTGGAAAAGCCAGTGGTGTTTTCTCACTCCCTCTGGATGTGGTAATGACTCTTCTGTGGTGTGTCTGGATGGTAATTTATAAAGCACGTGTCTGTGGCTGCTCCACAGCACAGCAGGGTCCAATATGCTGGCAAGAACCAAACAGGAGAGGTCGCTGCAGCACCCTGACCCCCACTGTTAGCTGTGAGAGCTCATGTCTTCGAAGAGGTGTGAACCCCCAGTCCTGTGCTCTTGTTTTGAATATAACACAGTGTCTTCCTGCCCCTCCATATGGAGCTGCTCCTCTTTATCTTCTTTAGCAACTCCCTGTAGGCCGGTTGTCCATGCCTGTGTCCATGTGTCAGGTGTCCCTGCTACGCATGCCCCGTGCCTGTTAGTGCCTCCCTGAGCTCTGTCTTGTAGATGGATGGTCTGGTATTCAGCCTTCCCCTCACGCTGAGTGTTCCTGGTTTCCTTTTCGCTGAGGTGTAGTGGGTTGACCTTGGCTGGATGCCAGGTGCCCACCAAGCCATTCAATCGCTCCCCCTCCTCAGCAAGACAGGGTGCGGAGAAAATAAGATGGAAAAGAACTTGTGGGCTGAGATAAGGACAGGGCGAACACTCACCAGTGACCGTCATGGGCGAAACACAGGCAAAAAACTTGGGAAAATGAATTTAATTTATTGCCAATCAGATCAGAGTAAGGTAATTGAGAAATAAGACCGAATCTTAAAAAAACCTACCCCTCACCCCTCCCTTCTTCCTGGGCTCAACTTCACTCCCGATTTCTCTACCTCCTCCCCTCCAGCGGCGCAGGGGGATGGGAAATGGAGGT